GGAAACCCCGTACAAGGTCACTATGAGTCAGAGCCGACTCCATGGCACACAGCCACCACCACCATCTTATTTCTGAACTTGTTCCAATTTTGGAAGAAGAAAGGGGCATTGATTATTGGCCTGCCCTATACTTCAACAATTTATAGTATATGGCTATAGAGTTCCTTCTCTTTTTTGAACAGTTTATTGTGGTGTAGGTGAAAGTCTACATAGCAAATTAGTTTTCCAATCTATAGTTCTGACACTAATTGTTCTGTGACATTTGTTGTAATCTTCACAATGTGTCAGTGCTGTCTCCTTTTCCTCCCTAGGTTCCCCATTTCCAATCATCCCATCTCCCTGTCCCTCCTTGATTCTCATATTTGGTTTTGGGAAAACATTGCCCTTTGGACTCATAAAGCTAATTGTTCAACAGAGCCCACTTCTCACACATGTTAGTTTATATATGCCCATTTATTAACCACCTGAAAGGCGGCCTCTAGGAGGAGCTTCAGTTTCAAATTAGAAGGTTGTCTTTAGAGGGACAGTCTCAGGAGTTCCTCCTGTCTCTTTCAGACCATTAAGTCTGTCCTTTATTATTATTATTATTATTACTTGAAATGTGTTCTACATTTTTTACATTCTAACTGGGGCCTTCTATTGTGTTCCTGGTAAGAGTATTTGGCACTGGTAACCAAGCACCATCTCGTTCTTCTGGACTTGGACTAGAGGAGACTGGTTCATACAGGGCATTAGTTCTGTGAACTATCTGCTTCTAAGTCTTAGGTTTTCTTTATTCTTCTTTGCTCCAGGTGGGAAGAGACCAATAGTTGCTTGTAGGTGGCCACTCACAAGGTTTTAAGACTCCAGATACAACTCACCAAGGAGCTCTGGTAGTGTAGTGGTTACAAATCAGGCTGCAAACCAGAAGGTCAGCAGTTCAAAACTACCAGCTGATCCACAGGAGCAAGATGAGGCTTTCTGCTCCTGTAAAGATTTACAGCCTCAGAAACCGGGTTCAGGGTCGCTGTGGGTCGAAACCAACTTGATGGCACTTAACAACAACAACAACATACAACTCACCAGACTAAGAGGTAGAACATTATATTTATGAACTGTGTTTTTCCAATTGGCCTAGATGTCCCCCAAGACAATGGTCTTTAGTCTTCAAGTCCAATAGTTTAGTCCTGAACTCTAATTAGTTTCCATATCTGTTCCCCTTATGGGCTCTATTATACATGTATGTGTACATATATACTACCTACAATATTTACAAATTTGTAAGCAAATAGCTTATGTATAAAGGTACACGCCCATACAATTTCTCTCACTTATTTAGCATATACTATTGTTTGTCATTACTGGTGTTGTAGGACTTTGTATGTTAGAGCAGTTACCACAGCTGTCCTTTGTTCTTACATACCTCTCAGTGTCTTCCTTTGCCTAGGTGACACTATGCTTGCTTCCTCTATACTGTGTACTGCCTGTGCCTTCACCATCATTAACACCTGTGTACTATGTAGTTAGTGATTTTTCCTCTCTCCCTCTCCCATTCCTGGTCACTATCAATTCTTTCTGGGGGTAACATCTATTCTTGACTTTTATAATGGTGGTTTCATATAAAAATTTGCCCTTTTTGTGACTGACTTATTTCATTTTGCATCATGTGCTCCAGATTCATTCATATTGTGAGATACTTCACAGAGTCATCATTATTCTTCATCAATACATAGTATTCCATTGTACACATGTACCACAGTTAATCCATTCATCTGATGATAAGCACTTAGATTGTTTCCGTCATTTTGCTGCAATAAACATGGGTGTGCATGTGTGTATTCATATCACAGCTCTTATTTCTCTAGGATAGATAGAGGGGTTTCAAAAAATTCATGGAAGAATTACATTATCATAGAAGCAGCAACACCAGAGATGGAGACAGAGGTGGGGACATGGAGAGAGGGAGCAGCTGAGGACTCTAAATTCATGGAAAGAGAGGGACTGAGAGCTGGTGGCCAGGAGGTAGGCTTGCAGAATGTGCCCTTTGGTAGTTTAAATTATTATATATGCCTGGGTGTTTAAAATGGTACCTAGAGGGGATTATAATCATTGTAATGAAACAAAGTATATGATTTGTTGAATGTAAAACTGATGATCTGCCCTGTAAACTTTCACTCAATTCATAATAAAAACTTTTTTTTTTAATTTACATTATAATTTAATTCCATTTTAACACAATTTTTTGAAATCCTCTTTTATACCTAGGAGTGAGGTTGCTGGATCTTACGGTATTTCTATTTCTAGCTCTTGTGGACTTGTTTTCGTTTTCTTCAGTGTCATATTAACAACTGATGCTCTGTTCTAGCCCCTGGCCTTGTTTTGGCTGATGATATTGAGCTTCTACATCCTCTCTTCCCACAGATGCAGTCAATTTGATTCCTGTGTAGTCCATCTAGGGAGCTCCCTGTGTATATTCACCATTTATGTTGTTTTTAAAAGGTAGTTAAAATGAATAAGCTATTGGTCTTGAAAAATTCTATCTCCAGTATCATTTTCTATCACCAAGGTCACATTTTCCAACTCCCAATCCTTCCTCTTAGTTTCCAACTTTTGTATTCCAGTCCAAGAGTAGGACAGCAAAGAATATAAAATGGTGCCAAGGTTGGTGGTTCAAAACTAGCAGCCACTCCAAAAGATAACAATGAGGCTGTCTACTCCCATAATGATTTACAGTCTTGGAAATCTTATATAGGATCGGTACGAGTCCAAAAAAACTCAATAGCAGTGGGAGTTGGGGAGAGGTAGTGGAGGAAGTACAAGAAAAGATTGGCAGCCCTTTTAGTGATTTTAAAACTGCATTTGCAGCAATTGAAGGTGATCGTCATGAGTACTTTCTTGTCATTAGGGATCTGTTCAATCATTTCAAAGAGAAGGAATATTTACATAACGTTTAAAAATATGGCAGCACTCCACTCAAAATTGACAGCCAATTGTACCATTTTGAATTTGCCTGGTTCTCCACAGTCCCAACAATTACACATTCTCACAAAACTCAGGTTCCTGGCATACAGTGGGCAAAATGACAAAACTTTCTTAAATATTATCAAACCTTTTAAGTCAATGAGTTGCAGGGCCTGGGGCTCAGGCCCATATTCTCAGGTCACACCATCATTAATCGGCATAACACAGTCCAAAAAGGCAAAGTTCTCCATCCTACTTTAGTGAGTTCCATCTGGGATCTTAAAAGCTCATGAGCAGTGACCTAAGGTATAACTATTGGTCTCTCCATGTGCAGAAGTAAGAAAAGTAATGAGAACTGAAGATGCTTGGAATCAATTAGTCCAATGGACTAATGGAACATGTGACCATCAGTCTCTATGACTCTGAGACCAGAAGTACTAGATGGTACCCAGCCATCACTACCAATTGCTCTGAAAGGGACCACAATGGAAGGTCCTAGATAGAGTGTTAGAAAATGTGGAACAAAACTCAAAATGATTAAAAAAAGAAAAACAAAAAACCAGGCTTACTGATCAGAAAGAGACTAGAAGAACCTGAGAGTATAGCCCTCAACTACCCTTCAGATCTGGAAAGGAACTCATCCTCATGGCCTAATTTTCAGCCAAGCAGTAGGTAGGTATATAGGTGAGGCAACTATGCTATATCAAAAGGGCAACATTTACTTGAGGACAAAGTTGAAAATGGATGGGAAGGAGGGTAGAATGGAAATAAGAACCACAGGGAAGAAGTGGGATAACTGTTGTTACATGGAGGGGATTGTAATCATTGAAATGAAACACAGTATGTGATTTGTTGAATGAAAAAATTGATAATTTTGTCTATAAACTTTCACTTGATTCACAATAGAAAGTGAAAAAAACAACACTTTTCTTTTTTCTTTTTTTTTTAATTAAGGGCTCCTAGAAGGGATTATTAATACACCTCTTCTGAATCTCCTATTCCAGACCCAGAATTTTTCCTGTTCCAGTTACCATGATGAATCACCTAAACTATAAAACTTTCAGTTTGTTCTTGTTACACTTTGTCAATCATGACAGAACTGGTTCAAAGTTCTGCATTAAGGGCAGTAAGAGTTTTCCCTAAGTCAGATGTTTGTAATCTAGAAATTGCCTGTACTTAGCTGTTAGATTCCTTCATCAGTGTTTTGTTTCTTCCATATACTCCATGAAAGATCCAGTTGCTCATTGCATCCTTAGAGTACAGTAGGTGGGCTATAGCAGGTGCTTAATAAATATTTGCTGAATTAATGGAGTATTATTCTAAGAAATAAGGAGCTCTGGTAGCGTAGTGGTTACGAATCGGGCTGAGAACCTTAAGGTCAGCAGTTCGAAACTACCAGCTGCTCCGCGGGAGAAAGATGAGGCTTTCTACTCCCGTAAAGATTTACACCCTCGGAAACCCTGTACAGGGTCGCTATGGATCAGAACCGACTCAATGGCACTTAACAACAACAACAACATTCTAAGAAATAACATCTCAGAAAGTTAGGAAGCAAGATGACTACTAAGAGTATGTCGTGTACAGGCTCCAAAACTTTCTAGGTTAAGCACCATAAAAGAGTGGACAGTGCATAGCTCAGCTACTTTCTATATGTATGGTCCCAAGAGTTCATCCTTTTCAAACTGTTTCCTTATATAGAAGATGGAGAAGACAAAACTCGCATTGGTCTGTTGTTGGCTAGTATCAAATGTGATTGTAGTTAAGTGCCGTTGAGTCCGTTCTGACTCATTTTTCCTTTAGAAAATCTAAAATAATCTAGATTTAGAAAAGATGAATTTAGGTAGTTTTGTATCTTCCAAAACAAGTTTTCACTTTAAGAAGCATATCCTCAAAATAAAGAAATAAATGAAAGGCATTCCCTCTAAACTGCTAAGCAATAAACTTAAGGGTACTTAAAACATGGTTCTAATTATACAGAGCTTTTCAGAATCATATCTGCCAGGTAAATCAAGGCACATCTGCACTCAATAAAACTTGTAGCATTATGAAAATACTCTTACCTTATGTTCAAATGCAGCACCATAGTACCCATCATTCAGCCCGAAAATTATTTCATTTTGGTTGCGGGCATGAATCTAAGAGAAAGGTAGAAGCACACTATTAGCTCCCATTCCAATAAAGTTTTAATATAATTAGAGCATGACAATTAAGACAGGACTGACTTCAATGTTGAGAAACAGACTGGCTACCCCCAAACAAAAGAAATCAAATCACTTAGCATAAAATCATATGATCAACTGAGAGGTTCCTACTTCAGTCAACGTCCTCACAAAACTATCAAATGAGCTCACAAATACCATCATTCACACACACTTTCCATGAACACTTGTTGAATTTACTATGGAAAGGCTATCTCCTAGTCAAGACTGGCTTTTCAGTAAATTCCTGAAGTAAAGACGACTCAGAGGCATATAATGTATTCCCTGATCTCAAAGAAAGCAAAATTCCATTTAGACTAAATGTACTTTAAGAAGTACGAAGACATTAAAAAAAAATTTTTTTAACAACAATAATAATAATAAACAAAAGATTAACATTATTTTTATTTTCACACACACAGTTTTTGTTGTTGTTGAGTGTGGTGGAGTCAGTTCCAATTCCTAGAGATCCTGTATAAGGTTTCCAAGGAGTAGCTGGTGGGTTTGAACCACTGAACTTGAGGTTAGCAATCCAGTACTTATTCTACAGTACCACACCAAGACTCTAAAATAGGACAGTTTAAAGATAATAATCTTGATTTCCTAAAGTCTCAGATGTGGACTCAGTTACTGTCTGCATACTAAGCACTTTCAGATGTAAATGATTTAAAATTCAGTCAGCGCCATTAAAAATTTAACTTCACCTAAAATGTAGGGAGGCTTCAATAAAGAAAGGAAGATTTTTTTTTTCTGCCCAAAGACAGCAACAGAAATAAATGCCTGCCTTTCATATCACCTACATATATTGTTGTTGTTGTCAGGTGCCATCGAGTCGGAACCGACTCATAGCGACCCCATGCACAGCAGAACGAAACAATGTCCGATCCTGGGCCAACCTCACTA